GAGTGTGAGCGTGTGCGTGTGAGCGTGTGAGTGTGAGTGTGAGTGTGAGCGTGAGCGTGAGCGTGAGCGTGTGAGTGTGTGTGTGTGTGTGAGTGAGTGTGAGCGTGAGCGTGTGCGTGTGAGCGTGTGAGTGTGAGCGTGTGAGTGTGTGTGTGAGTGTGAGTGTGAGTGTGAGTGTGAGTGTGAGTGTGAGCGTGTGAGTGTGAGCGTGAGCGTGAGCGTGAGCGTGTGAGCGTGAGAGTGTGAGTGTGAGTGTGAGCGTGAGCGTGTGAGTGTGAGTGTGTGAGTGTGAGTGTGAGTGTGAGTGTGAGTGTGAGCGTGAGCGTGTGCGCGTGAGCGTGTGAGTGTGAGTGTGAGTGTGAGTGTGAGTGTGAGCGTGAGCGTGTGCGTGTGTGTGTGAGTGTGAGTGAGTGTGAGCGTGAGCGTGTGCGTGTGAGCGTGTGAGTGTGAGTGTGAGCGTGAGTGTGAGTGTGAGTGTGAGTGTGAGTGTGAGCGTGAGCGTGTGCGCGTGAGCGTGTGAGTGTGAGTGTGAGTGTGAGTGTGAGTGTGAGCGTGTGCGTGTGAGTGTGTGTGTGAGTGTGAGTGAGTGTGAGCGTGAGCGTGTGCGTGTGAGCGTGTGAGTGTGAGTGTGAGCGTGAGAGTGTGAGTGTGTGAGTGTGAGTGTGAGTGTGAGTGTGAGTGTGAGTGTGAGCGTGAGCATGAGCGTGTGAGCGTGAGCGTGTGAGTGTGAGCGTGAGCGTGAGTGTGAGCGTGTGAGTGTGTGAGTGTGAGTGTGAGTGTGAGCGTGTGAGTGTGAGCGTGAGCGTGTGAGCGTGAGCGTGTGAGTGTGAGCGTGAGCGTGAGCGTGTGAGTGTGTGAGTGTGAGTGTGTGAGTGTGAGTGTGAGTGTGAGTGTGAGTGTGAGTGTGAGCGTGTGAGTGTGAGTGTGAGTGTGTGAGCGTGTGCGTGTGAGCGTGTGAGTGTGAGTGTGAGTGTGAGTGTGAGCGTGAGCGTGTGAGTGTGTGTGTGAGTGTGAGTGAGTGTGAGCGTGTGCGTGTGCGTGTGAGCGTGTGAGTGTGAGCGTGAGCGTGAGCGTGAGCGTGTGAGTGTGTGAGTGTGAGTGTGTGAGTGTGAGTGTGAGTGTGAGCGTGTGAGTGTGAGTGTGAGTGTGAGTGTGAGCGTGAGCGTGAGCGTGTGCGTGTGAGCGTGTGAGTGTGAGTGTGAGTGTGTGTGAGCGTGAGCGTGTGAGTGTGTGTGTGAGTGTGAGTGAGTGTGAGCGTGAGCGTGTGCGTGTGAGCGTGTGAGTGTGAGCGTGAGCGTGTGAGTGTGAGTGTGAGTGTGTGAGTGTGAGCGTGAGCGTGTGAGTGTGAGCGTGAGCGTGAGCGTGTGAGTGTGAGTGTGAGTGTGAGCGTGAGCGTGAGCGTGAGCGTGAGCGTGTGAGTGTGAGTGTGTGAGTGTGAGTGTGAGTGTGAGCGTGAGCATGAGCGTGTGAGCGTGAGCGTGTGAGTGTGAGCGTGAGCGTGTGAGTGTGAGTGTGAGCGTGAGCGTGTGAGTGTGTGAGTGTGAGTGTGTGAGTGTGAGTGTGAGCGTGAGCGTGAGCGTGAGCGTGAGCGTGTGAGTGTGAGCGTGAGCGTGTGAGCGTGTGAGCGTGTGAGCGTGAGAGTGTGAGTGTGAGTGTGTGAGTGTGAGTGTGAGCGTGAGCGTGAGCGTGTGAGTGTGAGTGTGAGTGTGAGCGTGTGAGTGTGAGCGTGAGCGTGTGAGTGTGAGTGTGTGAGTGTGAGTGTGAGCGTGAGCGTGTGAGTGTGAGTGTGTGAGTGTGAGTGTGAGTGTGAGCGTGTGAGTGTGAGCGTGAGCGTGAGCGTGAGCGTGTGCGTGTGAGTGTGAGTGTGAGCGTGTGAGTGTGAGTGTGAGCGTGAGAGTGTGTGTGTGAGTGTGAGTGTGAGCGTGAGCGTGAGCGTGTGAGTGTGTGTGTGAGTGTGAGTGTGAGTGTGAGAGTGAGCGTGTGAGTGTGAGCGTGTGAGTGTGAGTGTGAGTGTGAGTGTGTGAGTGTGAGTGTGAGCGTGAGAGTGTGAGTGTGAGTGTGTGAGTGTGAGTGTGAGCGTGAGCGTGAGCGTGTGAGTGTGAGTGTGAGTGTGAGTGTGAGCGTGAGCGTGAGCGTGTGAGTGTGAGCGTGAGCGTGTGAGTGTGAGTGTGAGTGTGTGAGTGTGAGTGTGAGCGTGAGAGTGTGAGTGTGAGTGTGAGTGTGAGTGTGAGCGTGAGCGTGAGCGTGAGCGTGTGACTGTGAGCGTGAGCGTGTGCGTGTGAGCGTGAGCGTGTGAGCGTGAGCGTGTGCGTGTGAGTGTGAGTGTGAGCGTGTGAGTGTGAGTGTGAGCGTGTGAGTGTGAGTGTGAGCGTGAGCGTGTGCGTGTGAGTGTGTGTGTGAGTGTGAGTGTGAGCGTGTGAGTGTGAGCGTGTGAGTGTGAGCGTGAGCGTGTGAGTGTGAGTGTGAGTGTGTGAGTGTGAGTGTGAGCGTGAGAGTGTGAGTGTGAGTGTGTGAGTGTGAGTGTGAGCGTGAGCGTGAGCGTGTGAGTGTGAGTGTGAGTGTGAGTGTGAGCGTGAGCGTGTGAGTGTGTGAGCGTGAGCGTGTGAGTGTGAGTGTGAGTGTGTGAGTGTGAGTGTGAGCGTGAGCGTGTGAGTGTGAGTGTGAGTGTGAGTGTGAGTGAGCGTGAGCGTGAGCGTGTGAGTGTGAGCGTGAGCGTGAGCGTGAGCGTGTGAGTGTGTGTGTGAGTGTGACTGTGAGCGTGAGCGTGTGCGTGTGAGCGTGAGCGTGAGCGTGTGAGTGTGAGCGTGTGAGTGTGAGTGTGTGAGTGTGAGCGTGAGCGTGAGCGTGTGAGTGTGAGTGTGAGTGTGAGTGTGAGCGTGAGCGTGTGAGTGTGAGTGTGAGTGTGAGTGTGAGTGTGAGCGTGAGCGTGTGAGCGTGTGGTGTGAGTGTGAGTGTGAGTGTGAGTGTGAGCGTGAGAGTGTGTGTGTGAGTGTGAGTGTGAGTGTGAGTGTGAGCGTGAGAGCGTGAGCATGAGCGTGTGCGTGTGAGCGTGAGCGTGTGAGTGTGAGTGTGAGTGTGAGTGTGTGAGTGTGAGCGTGAGCGTGAGCGTGAGCGTGAGCGTGAGTGTGAGTGTGAGTGTGAGCGTGTGAGTGTGAGTGTGAGTGTGAGTGTGAGCGTGAGCGTGAGCGTGTGAGCGTGAGCGTGTGAGTGTGAGTGTGAGCGTGAGCGTGTGAGTGTGAGTGTGAGTGTGAGCGTGAGAGTGTGTGTGTGAGTGTGAGTGTGAGTGTGAGTGTGAGTGTGAGTGTGAGCGTGAGCGTGAGCGTGTGCGTGTGAGCGTGAGCGTGTGAGTGTGAGTGTGAGTGTGAGAGTGTGAGTGTGAGCGTGAGCGTGAGCGTGAGCGTGAGCGTGTGAGCGTGTGAGTGTGAGTGTGAGTGTGAGCGTGAGCGTGAGCGTGAGTGTGAGCGTGAGTGTGAGTGTGTGAGTGTGAGCGTGAGAGTGTGTGAGTGTGAGAGTAAAAGTATTAGAGTAAGAGTGGATGAGTGATGTCACACCTGGTGCATGAGGCTGAGAGTAATCCCTAAGGTCGTCCAGACTCTCACACAGCGTCTCCGTGGAAACGCCGCAGTCCCGCCCCCCTCGGTGACTGACCAATCGGAGCAGAGGTTCTCTGAGGCGGCGAGCTCGGGCGCCGATGGGTCGCAGCCCGTCCACCTTCACCGCCACGTTGGTCACCGCCCCGCCATGTTCGAAGGCTAGAGGAGGGGTGTCGCTCCAGCCTCCTGCTCAGAGAGAGACCCAGGGGAGGACCAGAGGGGAGGACCAGGGAGAGGCCAGGGGAAGACCAGGGAAGGACCAGGGAAGGACCAGGGAAAGACCAGAGGAGGACCAGGGAGAGGCCAGGGGACAGGGGAAGACCAGGGAAGGACCAGAGAACGACCAGAGGACCAGGGAAAGACCAGAGGAGGACCAGGGAGAGGCCAGGGGACAGGGGAAGACCAGGGAAGGACCAGAGAAAGACCAGAGGACCAGGGAAAGACCAGAGGAGGACCAGGGAAAGACCAGAGGAGGACCAGGGAAAGACCAGGGGGGACCAGGTGATTGTGGTTAGATTTGAGGAGGAAAAAGATCAAACCTTCTTGAGTCCTGTAAAATTAAAATGAGGTGCGGTTCTACTAACAACCAGCAGAGAGCGCCATTTCTTCTGTTTTAGAGCAGCAACCTTCTGCATACAGCTGAATATTTTCATATGATAAGATTTGATTACATTACATTTAATTTGCAGTTAGTTCCCCTAAATTCCTGTTCATTATTCCATTTTGCAACCCTAAAGCAAGTCATTGTTATATTAGTAGTTCTGGTGCAACTGATGAAATGTATGACTGTATTTTAAAATCAATGTTTGATGTTAAAAACTCCATTACATCATTCCAAAGTTGCCAGTCTCACCTGCCAGATCGAGTCTCGCCGGACAGTGCACTTCCCGCCACTCCCCAAGAGGTGGTAGCGTTCCTCGTCCAATAGAAATGAACCGCTGGGATGACATCACAGCTTGACGGAGCAGCACTTGCCCCGCCCCTTCGTAATGACGAGCAGCCCGCACCAACAGATCTGGCCTGTAGGGGGAGCGATAACTACATTATAACATCAGATCTAAGACACAGGAGAGAGTGGCTAGCGTGAAAGACCAGAATGAGACCAGAGAGAGACCAAAGAGAGACCAGAGAGCGACTGAAGAGACAGACCAGAGAGAAACCAGAGAGACCCTAGATTTCCTATTGGTAAAGGTGCACTTTTATTGATCCCCGTAGGGCAATTTAATCCTCTGCATTTGACCCATCCTAATGCCACTAAGGCTTACGTCAGGAGCAGTGGTCGCCGTGGTAATAGCGCCCGGGAACCCATCTCCAGATGTTGATGCTCGGCTTGGTCAGGAGCTGGAGGATTTAACCTAGTGTGCATGTTTTTAGTGGTAGGGGAAACCGGAGGAAACCTACGCAACCTACGGGAGAACATGCAAACTCCACTGAGAAAGACCCCATTCCGACCAGGATTCGAACCTAGGACCTTCTTGCTGAGAGGAGAGAGTGCTATCCACTCAGCCACCGTTTTTGGGCTTCCTTTACCTACCGGGTTAATGTTGACCATAGACTGTATATATTAACGGACAGAGTCACGCCTATCTCCGCCGTTCTAACTAATGGGCCAAAAAATTTGCTCTACTGGAGCTATCCAAAATGGGCGCGGGTGGTCCCGCCCACAAGAACATTTTGAAAAGACGCGCGCAGCTCCATTCATTTGAACGAGAGACTTATGAAATTCACAGCAAGTAAACTAGAGTAGACCAAAAATTCACATTCACCCCCCTCAGCATTGACACACATGTGGAACGGAGCTTTGGGCCAAGAGACAACTTTTGGTCCATCCTGTAAAGACGTTTTTGAGAGGTCTGAGAGGTCTGAGAGGCTAACATTGAAATTTCGGTGTTGCATCACAGGTGTTGCATCACAGGTTATAGGACAGTAGGAAAGAGGAGCACACAGCACACGTTAAGTGAAAAATAGCTATACTAAACAAAATGCAGTGAGATGCAGTACATCTGAATGCAGTTTGTAACCTAACCTAAACCCATCCATGATAAATCACATGACACTGACCTACAGAGCCAGGCCTCTCTCTGATTGGCCAGAGCAGAGGTACCTCGGCTCAGGTGTCCCTGCTCCAGCAGAGCGAACGCAGAGCTCCAGGCCTCATTCGCAGCCGGGCCGCTCCTCAGGCCACCCTTTCCACGCGACATAAGCACCAGGACGTCAGCAATGCAGGACAGGCACCGAGCGGACACCCCCAACTCTGAGCCCATGACCCCAGAGTTCACCATCGCAGCTTTACCAGAAGCAACTACACAAACACACACAGGTCACCACATGAGGAGTGGGGAGTTTAAAGCAACAATAGGCAACTTTAAGGGGTGGGAAAAACCTGCATGATAGAGATTAGTGGGAATAAGTTTAAGAGAGGCCAGAGAGAGAGAGAGACTAGAGAAAGAGACCCCAGTGGGAAAGGCCAGAGAGACACCAGATGGAGAGAGAGACCAGACCAAGGAGAGACCAGACAAAAAGAGAGACCAGAGAGATCAAAGAAAGACCAGAGGAAGGACCAGAAAGACACCAAAGAGCCTCACAATATGCTCACATAGGTTTTCACAAACGGCCCAGATCGTCGCCAGAGGTGTGAAGACGGCCCGCGGTCCGAAGGGTTTATATTTTCAACCGTGCCAGCCCATTAGCGGTGTAGTACACGCCCGGTCCAGCTAGTGGCGCTAACACCTCGAGGTCCGAGTAAAGTTTCCGTTTCTCTTACTGTTTAACTCGGCTACTGTGCGCCAACCATGGCACCCACCCGCTCAAGCATGGATTGCGTTCTTTACAATTAGAGAGTCAACGTGTACAAGTGTGAGATGTGTCTTTCTCCAATGTCCAGCAGCTTAGTGGGTATGTGTGTGTGCGTGTGTATTTGTGTGTGGGCATGCGGCGGACACAACCGCGCATTAAACGGTGTGAGCGGTGAGAAATGAATAAATGAGAAAGAAAAAATGTAAAGTGTAGCATACAAGCATTGTGACTTTAGCCAGACAGGATACAAGTGTGTGTTGGTGTGTTTTGGCAACAATATAAAGTCTGACTCTTGCGTGTCCGAAGGGTACTGGAGCAACAAATCTCCCCTGCAGCCCTTTTCACGTCCCCTACCCCCCATGTCTCTCAACCGTGCAAGTCCGGTTGCCGCGGCCACACGGCACCTAAAGCCCGGATCTAATTGCGTTCTGGGCCAGCTTTAACTGGGCTTTAGGTTGTGTTTGTGACCGCAGCCTCATTATATCCTTATAATTTCATCCCTACACAAATAAATATATACATTTAAATATAAATAATTTTTAAACATCAATTTTCCTACTTACTGCTGTCTAATGTCTCCAACATCGCCCCCTGCTGTCCGCCCATCACAGCGGCTCTGAAACAAGGAAGTAAACACGTGTCAGTGCGACCAATAAGAGCATCCGTCACGCGTCTCCGTCCCGACAGGAACAGAAGCTCCTCCCTCCAGCGAAGCTCCGCCTCCTGATTGGTCAGTGACATCACTTCCTGCAGAGAGAGTCTCCAGGCCTCTCTCCAGCGCTGGACTCCGCTGGCCTCACCCCCGAGCAGCCAGGCCACACTCCCTTCCAGCCCCGCCACACCTGCCCTGGGGCGGAGGACAGGGAAGAGTCGAGCCGTTAGCAAACAGCGCCGCGAGCCATGGCACCATAGATCCTCCGCTCTGAAACACAGTTATGGAGGCTGTTTAAATAAGTGGGAAGTAAAAAGTTGTTCTAATGTGTGTAACTCTTGCTAATGTGGCTAACTCAGACTTTATGGTTTTGATTTAGCCACATTAGCAAGAGCTCAAAAGTTACACACCGAAGAGAGACCAGAGAGATCAGAAAGAACCCAGTGAGACCAGACTGGGCTCTACTAATAAACTTGTCTTTTGTCACATAAAACACTGGGATAAGTGAACCTACTGTATTCCTGTTCGAGTAACGAACACCTCCCAGGTTTGGTTCAGGAATAAAGCACCAGAGTCTCCAACAGAAATCTGAGGAGGAAGAGTCATTACTATTAATAAACAACTAATAACTAATGACCTAACTTAACGATAGGATTGTCTACCTAGCAACTACCGTACTTTCTGGACTATAAGGTGCTCCAGCTACATTATCAGAAACAGAAACTTCCATGAATCATTCTCCGTTAGCTTCCATGACCTCAATTTTTACCTCTAAATTGTCAAAAGCTCCAAAGACAGTGTAGACATTCAGCTTTAGCTGCTCCCCCAGCACGATCCGGTGTCCCTGGATGATGATGTCACAGGCAAGCGCCACGTGTCTGATGCTAGCTGATGCCGACGGCTCCAGTCCAGACAGAAGACAACCACTGGGGACGTTCAAAGGCCCCTGAGGATGAGTGACATGTGACAAACTGATCAAACATGCTCCAGAGCCCCCTGCTGGAGGCAGAAAGCAGTGATTGCATGTGTTAAAACCAGTGGGGGCAGGTCCCAGCTCAAAAACGGCCACATTGACGTGCGCTGACATTTTTACAATACTACCCCGGGTTAGTCAGTAATGTACGTATCTTGTGATTACACTCGGTTGAAATCCATTCGACCAATCTGAGAGCACGGGAGGCGGGTGTTGTTTAATTGTGGGTGACGTCAAGAGTTTGCGTCGAACGGGCAGGATGTAGTTTGGCAAAAAATGCGATAGTAAAGTATTCCGGTCTGGTTCTATCAAGAAATTAAAGCCGGAGCAAGAGGAATGTTTAGCAATCACTACTCCCCACGGGAGTAGTGACACAATGCGTAGTGACGCGTAGTGAGTAGTGACGCAAAGGAGATGGCTAGGCTAAATGCTAAATGCTAACAACAGACTCGGGCGCATTACATACGTCACGGTAAACTCAAATCCAATCGTTTCAATCTGCAAAAGGAGTTAACTCCTCCCACCTGTAAACGGAGCTCAATGGAGCAAATCCAGACCTTAGTATGAAATGTATTTTGTACTATGGTGTGGTACGACCAGGCTAGTCTAGTTTAGTTGCTGTGAAATTTTGAAGGCACTTGTTAAATGAATGAGGCTCGTGCCGGCTGAGGCATGCGCAGATACGTTTTTTCACATTTTCCAGCCATGAAAAATCAACACTTACTAACACGGCCTAACTCAATGAAAGCCCAATTTTTGGCCCATTTCTGAACGGCGGAGAAAGGCGTGACTACGTCCGTTTACAGTCTATGGTTAAAACCTGGTTCCACAACCATGTGGCTATGTTTGAAACACAAAATGTTTGATATTTAAACAAAATAACTTGTTAAACCCCACCCTCTGGTGGTGAATTCTAAATCTGTACTACTGTACTTCAATCGGACATACCTAGATTAATTTCTCTACAAGATGCATCAGGACTCTGGAATTTGGACTGGGAGAGGCAGGACTACAGAGAGAGCTTAACTACTGACTATTTAACATGAATTTGTGTATTTCATGCTGTTTTGTTTTTGTATTTTGTTGCTCTTTTTTATATCTTTCGTGCTTCACTTTGAGCTGCTGGTGTGGTTGTAAATGTGCTATACAAAATAAAGTTGACTGTTTATCTGATTACACCATAAGATAAGAGATAAGATCAACTTTATTGATCTCACAATGGAGAAATGTACATGTCACATTTGGCATAGATATATTTTACCTGTAGGTGGCAGTGTTGGACCACAGCTCCTGAGGCCACAGAGACGTCTGCTTCAAGAACACTGTTGATCACACACGCTCCGTCACTGATGAGGCTCTGGTTCTAATCACACAAATAAACTAGAATTAAACCCAGTCCTGGATCTACAGCCTCAGTCCTGGATCTACAGCCTCAGTCCTGGGTCTACAGCCTCAGTCCTGGGTCTACAGCCTCAGTCCTGGGTCTACAGCCTCAGTCCTGGATCCACAGCCTCAGTCCTGGATCTACAGCCTCAGTCCTGGATCTACAGCCTCAGTCCTGGATCTACAGCCTCAGTCCTGGATCTACAGCCTCAGTCCTGGATCTACAGCCTCAGTCCTGGATCTACAGCCTCAGTCCTGGATCTACAGCCTCAGTCCTGGATCTACAGCCTCAGTCCTGGATCTACAGCCTCAGTCCTGGATCTACATCCTCAGAGCTAGATCTCTGTTGTTGCATTCTGTCCAAAAAGATTAGTTTACTGTATAGACATTAACATAGGATTAAATCTGAAAAATCCCATATCCAAAACATAAATTGTGATTCCAGAGACCACTTTTTCATGTTTATTCTTGGCCTGTTCATTAAATAGATCAACAGCAAGAAGGTCCTGGGTTCGATTCCACCTCCAGGCCTTGTGGAGTTTGCATGTTCTCCCCGGGTGCGTGTAGGGTTCCTCCAGGTGCTCCGGTCACCCCTACCACTAACAACATGTACATTAGGTCGGAATGTAGTGAGTGAACGATGGTGACGGTCAGAGGCATTGTGCTTCTGTCTTCATGGTGTGGAGCAAATGGCAATTCGGGCGTTCTGCTCTCCCAAAATTCCATCCGATGGGCGGGGGAGCGACTGAATTTTGCGTTGCATTATGGGTAACACTTGCCTTCGCAACTTCCGGTTCTCTCTGCCCGGCGCATTTTCTCTAAATGGTTGAGTGTTTTCGTCATTTTCTGTATGCAAATACATTCCCGTCTCTAACTAGTGGCATATCGCGCAAATCATCCGTCCAATTCACATTCTTCCCTCTTAGCTGAACTTCATTCTCATTGTTACATCTGTCACTCGCACACACAGCCGTTTTCGTTCACTCTGCTCGCTGTCATCTTCTTCTAAATCTTCATAAACACCATCCGCTCGTTGAACTAGCAACAACAATTCCTCCTTTCGTTTTCCCACACTGCAAATACCCTTTCGCTTCAACCTTTCACGCAATTCAGGCACTGTCAATCGTTTGTTGTTTTTGTGAGCCATATTCGCCATTGTATGAAATCAACCGGAAGTGAACTGGGCAACAAACGGTGTCATTTTTTGATCACAGCGCCGCTCAGTGGATGAAATTTTGGGAGAGCAGAACGCCCGAATTACTGGTACTCCAAAAATTGCGCTTTGTAATACCTTGGTCTGTGACTGATTTTTTAACCCTTGTCTTATGATTAATTAGTTGGTTAATTAGTTGGTCACTCTGAGTTGGTTGTGTTGTGTGGTACCTGTGTGTGGGACAAAGTGTTGCTGCTGGTGGAGGTGGAGCTCAGTCTCTGGATGTGGTCTTTCCCAGAGAGAGTCATGTAATCGTAGAGTCCTCCAGGAACAAACTCTGTTCAAATCATATTTAATGTTTTTAATATTCTGTCACAAAGAACACAACACAGAGAGAGAGCTTTAAAAGAAGTCGTCTGGACCAGGAACTGAGCATAGAGACATTTTAGCCCTGTTTCCACCAGCTCTACTCTACTCTACTCTACTCTACTCTACTCTACTCTACTCTACTCTACTCTACTCTACTCTATTATACTCTATTATACTCTACTCTACTCTATTATACTCTACTGACTCAGAGTCCCAGCAGCAGGCCAGTCCCTGTGCTCCTCAGAGTCCCAGCAGGAGGCCAGTCCCTGTGCTCCTCAGAGTCCCAGCAGGAGGCCAATCCCTGTGCTCCTCAGAGTCCCAAGCAGGAGGCCAGTCCCTGTGCTCCTCAGAGTCCCAGCAGGAGGCCAGTCCCTGTGCTCCTCAGAGTCCCAGCAGGAGGCCAGTCCCTGTGCTCCTCAGACTTTTTGTGACAACACCGGTAATGTCACATATAAATTCAAACTGACCCAAAGTGAGTGGCGTCCCCCTCAGGATATTCCATAGTTCTGTGCGTCCGCTCTTCACCAACGCCCCCTGTGGCCCAGAGACAGAACTGCAGCCGGCTCTCTCCTCATTCACAAACTGATGCAGGGTCAGATCTGAGCACAAACACTTCAATACGTCCAAGAAGAGAGAGATCTGGAGAAAAGCAAGACAGAACATGCACTTTAACTAAAATATATTTCAGCAAATTAACTATACAGGTCCCAGTAAAGAGCAAGCCCCTGGTCTCTCCAAGATGTCTGCCCCCCGGTCTCTCCAAGATGTCTGCCAGTAGGCTCATGCTTGCACTATGGACGTCCCAAACATTAGCAGAAGTGCCTTTTTCTGGCCAGCTCTGGTGTCTCTATGGTCTTTCTCTCTCTCTGGCCTCTCTCTGGTTGGTATCTTTGGTCTCTCTCTCTCTCTGGTCTCTTTCTGGTTCTCACGGTCTTGTGCAGTAGGTGCAGAGGTTCTACATCCACAGAAGAAACATGTCATAATTTTATATTGTTGTCATTATAAAGTCTTGAATATAGTTTTGTCTCTTTGTGACTTTATGTTCAAAGTTTAAATACAAATACATAATACAAAGTGAGGTATTATTGGATGTTGCCTGTTTGACCTGCAGCGGTGGAGCCCCAGAGTCCAGGCCCAGGTAGGTGCATCCATCCAGAGGAGGAGTGACGTGAGTCTGCAGTAACTTCTCTGAAACCGTTCGACTGAAGAAGACTGGACCGGAAACCTGCAGACGAGGAATCTACTGTTCACATAAACACTGAAGCATCACACCACTGGTTTGGCTTGTCTGCAGTACTTGCTGGACTATTAAGCACATCTGTGTATAAGCCTCAGACACTAGTTAAAAGAACTGCTGATGAAAACAAAGAGAGATGAATGTTTTAACTGGACATTTAATCCAGTTTATTTGTACCTAAAAAACAGGGTTAGAGGATCAAGTATACATCAACAATGTTTTAGTACTCTCTGGTCTCTCTCTGGTCCCCCCTCTCTCTCTCTCTGGTCTCTCTCTGATCTCTCTCTGGCCTCTCTTTAGTCTCTCTTTGGTCCCTCTCTGGTCGCCCTCTCTCTCTCTCTCTGGTCGCCCTCTCTCTCTCTTTCTGATCTCTCGTTGTCTCCCTCTCTCTCTGGTCCCCCCTTTCTCTCTCTGGTCTCTCTCTGGTCTCTCTCTGATCTCTCTCTGATCTCTCTCTGATCTCTCGCTGATCTCTCGCTGATCTCTCTCTGATCTCTCTCTGATCTCCCTCTGATCTCCCTCTGGTCTCTCTCTGGTCTCTCTCTGGTCTCTCGCTGATCTCCCTCTGGTCTCCCTCTGGTCTCTCGCTGATCTCTCTCTGGTCTCCCTCTGGTCTCCCTCTGGTCTCCCTCTGGTCTCTCTCTGGTCTCTCTCTGGTCTCTCTGGTCTCTCTCTGGTCTCTCTCTGGTCTCTCTCTGGTCTCTCTCTGGTTTCTCTCTGGTCTCTCTCTGGTCTCCCTCTCTGCCTCTAGTTTCTCTCTCTGGTCTTTCTAAGGTCTCTCTCTGGTGCCACTCTTATACCTCAAAGATGGGGTTAGAGGCCCCTGAATACATAACAACATTTATACTCTTTCTAGTAAGTAGTAAGTAAGTAAGCTTTATTTATATACCGCCTTTCACAGACCAGAGTCACAAAGCGGTTTACAATTGTTATTTTTTGGGCTCTTGTCTCTCACTCCACACAGAGATGGGAGCGGGGTCGCCGAACAGGAGGCGCATGCCAGAACTATTGTACATATTTTTAGTGGTAGGGGAAACCGGAGTACCCGGAGGAAACCTACGCAGACACGGGGAGAACATGCAAACTCCACTCAGAAAGGCCCTGGTCCGGCCGGGATTCGAACCCAGGACCTTCTTGCTGAGAGGCGAGAGTGCTATCCACTCAGCCACCGTGCCGCCCGGTTCACCGTTCTACTTTAAACCTCTATTATAACTATAGTGTGTTTATTTCAAATACTTTCACTTTCACAAACCAGAGGCACTTTTCCGTCTGAAATCACAGCTTGTTGTATCTGCTCCGTGGTTCCCTTGTAGATGATGTCTCTAACATTTCCCTGCAGAGAGAACAGACGTGATAACATGCAAATAAAACTTGTTGTTAAGGATGAATAAATAGGACACATTTACCTTTGAGTCAGAGAAATAGACTCCATGATCGGCGGCGTATGAGATCTCTCCAGGTAAAGCCAGAACTCTCACTCCAGAGAAACCCTCCCAGGACAGAGCTGAGAACCAAGCACCAGTGTGTGAGATTAAACAGTGTGTCAATGGATTTGGATTTTTGCCTGGGTTCGGATATTCCCCTACCATGAAAACATATACAATAAGTCTGGTATGTGCCTCCTGTAGCTGACCTGCTCCATCTCTGGAGTGAGACAAATTACCACGAGGATTGTAAATCATAAATATATATAAGGATGACTTATTCACTAGCTTTTCATATCTATGCAAAAACATGTTAAATGCTTCACTGTAAAGCATTTTCAAAAATTGAAACTTGTTTTTAGCAACAAATAAAATACATTGTAATAAAATACAATTGGTTAAGAGCTCTTATCGTATTGTATTGTCAAAAAAACTGATTATAAGACATGTTTTTCTTTTGGGGTTAAAAGGAGCCTTGTCTCTGTCCATTTTTTTCAGTCTTAGATTGTGGCGACATTTTTTATATGAATTCTACTTCGTTGTGTCTTCTAAAGCTGGACTCTATTTATCATGCTTCCCTGAGGTTAAGTCTGAGGCCATGTCCACACGTAGCCGGGTATCTTCAAAACCCAATATTTCCCCCCCTCCGTTTATAAATTGTTTTGCATCCAAACATAACCAAACATCTGCGTTTTTGAATCACATGCATAACATTCCAAACCTCTGACGTTCTGCGTTGGGAAAAAACACAGAAGTGGGCGGAGCTTTGATGCTGACGCCGGTGCTTCTGTAGTGGCACTTTTACACTCACAGAAGAAACTCAGGGTGAAGACATGTGCTCCTGCCCTCTGACTTCTACACATTACTCATACAAAGGAGTACAGAGTTCCATGCACTAAGGTCCAATGAGCAGCTGGGGCTTACCGTGCCTTTTAGCCGCACAGAGCTTTTGTCCTTGAATGCTTTTAGATAAAACTCATTAGTTTGTGAGACCTGTAATTGTTTTACTTGATGTGTGTAGTCTGTGTACCTGTCACTTGTTATGTAATTGTATCTGCCTGTTGTGCTTATGTGAAACTTTGCTGCCTCTTGGAGAGGACTCCCTTGAAAAAGAAGTTCTTAATCTCAATGGGATTTTTCCTGGTTAAATAAAGGTTGAATAAAAAAAATAAAAAAAATGGTGTGGCTCCTCAAAGATAGGTCAAATCCCCTGAAAACACTGTCCCTCATCTGAAAAAGCTCTGGCAGTCAAAGGGTTCACACTCTGGACCAGACCCAGTCTTGAAGCCTTGGGTCAGACATTTGGAGCCCAGAACTTCAATGCAGAACAATATAGAGGAATGACTATGGAGGAACAATGTTGATTCTTTTGCTTTTTGGATGAATTTTTCCATCCACCTGCAGGTGGTGAGTCCACAGGAGCCTTAATCTTCCAGCGGGGGCTTTTTGGGCAAAGTGGGGTTAAGGACAAGGACACAACGACAGCAGTCATGAGTGGAAGTCGTGAAGTAGGTCTTGTGGTGGATTCGAACCTACGACCTTCAGGCCCAAAGGCCAATGCTCTACCAACTGAGCCACTGTCGCCCCTAGATGATTTTTTTTTTTTAAATCAACAAAAGGGTATATTGCAAAAAGAAGCTTTGTTTCATGTGTGCGGGACCAGTAGGTATAAACCCAACGTGTTTTAACATTAGGTTAAAGGACTTAATAGTGTTGAATATCCAATATAAAACTAAATTTACCGCATTCCAAATGCTCCAAAAGTTTATTTTTGCCCCACGACGGCTCCTCTTTCAGCAGGACAACAACCCTAAGCACACAGCCAAGATAACAAAGAAGTGGCTTCAGGACAACTCTGTGAATGTCCTTGAGTGGCCCAGAGCCCAGACTTGAATCCAATTGAACATCTCTGGAGAAAATGGCTGTGTACCGACACTCCCCATCCAACTTGATGGAGCTTGAGAGGTGCTGCAAAGAGGAATGGGCCAAAACTGCCCAAAGACAGGTGTGCCAAGCTTGTGGCATCATAGTCAAAAAGACTTGAGGCTGTAATTTTGCTCCAATTACAGCCTTAATAAATTTGCAAGAATCTCCAAACAACTTTTTTCATGTTGTCATTATGGGGTGTTGAGTGTAGAATTATGAGGAAAAAAGAAATTGAATCAATTTTGGAAAAAGGCTGTAACAGAACAGAATGTGGAAAAAGTGAAGCGCTGTGAATACTTTCCGGATGCTCTGTATCCTGAAAAGACTTTTTTGCCTCTAACATGTTTGAACAAATCTGAGTGATTCTATCTGATGTACATTTATCCAGAGTGAGATCAATAAAGTCTACAGTATCTTATCTCGTCTTTAGTTTCCTTGTTTTTATTAAAGCTTGCCATCTGGGTACACAGACACAGGAAGAACATTCATACTCTATCCCCCCTGTTGATGCCCTGTTTCTACCTGGATTCAAACCCAGGACCTTCATGCTGAGAAGAGAAAGTGCTAACCACTCTGCCACTGTCTAAGGATTTAAGCCCAATTAAGTCAAATTATTTTGTTTATTCATCCATTTCTGAGTCAGGGGGATAGAAATTGCACCAATGACAGGGCCTCGCTATTTCAGTTGGACTCCAGGCAGAAATGAATAATTAAAATATTTAGGTTAAACTTCTCTGGATGTATATATTTATTTATCTTGATCTATCTATGTTTTATACAAAGACATGAAGTGAAAAACTCAAACTCACAGAAGTCTGGAGGAACAGAGAGCATCATGTCTGTGCTGCAGACCCACACACCAGGAGGAGAGCCAGGGCAGAGCTGAAACACACACATTACACACTATTATTTCATGTTAGTTCATCTCAGTCTCTCTCTCTCTGGTCTCTCTCCCTAGTCTCTCTCTCTGGTCTCTCTCTCTGGTCTCTCTCTCTGGTCTCTCTCTCTGGTCTCTCTCTCTGGTCTCTCTCTCTGGTCTCGCTCTCTGGTCTCTCTCACTGGTCTCTCTCACTGGTCTCTCTCTCTCTGGTCTCTCTCTCTGGTCTCTCTCTCTGGTCTCTCTCTCTGGTCTCTCTCTCTCGTCGGTCTCTCTCTCAGGTCTCGCTCTCTGGTCTCTCTCTCTGGTCTCTCTCTCTGGTCTCTCACTGGTCTCTCTCTCTGGTCTCTCTCCCTGGTCTCTCTCTATGGTCTCTCTCTCTGGTCTCTCTCTCTGGTCTCTCTCTCTGGTCTCTCTCTCTGGTCTCTCTCTCTGGTCTCTCACTGGTCTCTCTCTCTGGTCTCTCTCCCTGGTCTCTCTCTATGGTCTCTCTCTCTGGTCTCTCTCTCTGGTCGGTCTCTCTGGTCGGTCTCTCACTGGTCTCTCTCTCTGGTCTCTCTCCCTGCTCTCTCTCTGGTCTCTCTCTCTGGTCTCGCTCTCTGGTCTCTCTCTCTGGTCTCTCTCTCTGGTCTCTCTCTCTGGTCTCTCACTGGTCTCTCTCTCTGGTCTCTCTCCCTGGTCTCTCTCTATGGTCTCTCTCTCTGGTCTCTCTCTCTGGTCGGTCTCTCTGGTCGGTCTCTCACTGGTCTCTCTCTCTGGTCTCTCTCCCTGGTCTCTCTCTATGGTCTCTCTCTCTGGTCTCTCTCTCTGGTCACTCTATCTGGCATCTCTCTGGTCTCTCTCTCTGGTCTCTCTCTCTGGTCTCTCTCTCTGGTCTCTCTCTCTGGTCGGTCTCTCTCTCAGGTCTCGCTCTCTGGTCTCTCTCTCTGGTCTCTCACTGGTCTCTCTCTCTGGTCTCTCTCCCTGGTCTCTCTCTATGGTCTCTCTCTCTGGTCTCTCTCTCTGGTCTCGCTCTCTGGTCTCGCTCTCTGGTCTCGCTCTCTGGTCTCTCTCCCTGGTCTCTCTCCCTGGTCTCTCACTGGTCTCTCTCTCTGGTCTCTCTCCCTGGTCTCTCTCCCTGGTCTCTCTCCCTGGTCTCTCTCTCTGGTCTCTCTCTCTGGTCTCTCACTGGTCTCTCTCTCTGGTCTCTCTCCCTGGTCTCTCTCCCTGGTCTCTCTCCCTGGTCTCTCTCTATGGTCTCTCTCTCTGGTCTCTCTCTCTGGTCTCTCTCTCTGGTCTCTCTCTCTGGTCGGTCTCTCTGGTCGGTCTCTCTCTGGTCTCTCTCTGGTCGGTCTCTCTCTGGTCTCTCTCTGGTCTCTCTCTTTAGCACCTCTCTCTAGCATCTCTCTGGTCACTCTCTCTGGCATCTCTCTGGTCTCTCTCTCAGGTCTCTCTCTCTGGTCTCTCGCCCTGGTCTCTCTCCCTGGTCCCTCTCCGTGGTCCCTCTCCCTGGTCCCTCTCCCTGGTCCCTCTCTCTCTCTGGTCTCTCTCCCTGGTCCCTCTTCCTGGTCCCTCTCCCTGGTCCCTCTCTCTCTCAGGTCTCTATCTCAGGTCTCTCTCTCAGGTCTCTCTCTCAGGTCTCTCTCAGGTCTCTCTCCCTGGTCCCTCTCTCTGGTCTCTCTCTGGTCTCTCTCTGGTCTCTCTCTGGTCTCTCTCTCTGGTCTCTCTCTCTGGTCTCTCTCTCTGGTCTCTCTCTCTGGTCTCTCTCTCTCTGGTCTCTCTCTCTCTGGTCTCTCTCTCTCTGGCATCTCTCTCTGGTCTCTCTCTCTGGTCTCTCTCTCTGGTCTCTCTCTCTGGTCTCTCTCTATGGTCTCTCTCTCTCTGGTCTCTCTCTCTCTGGCATCTCTCTCTGGTCTCTCTCTCTCTGGTCTCTCTCTCTCTGGTCTCTCTCTCTCTGGCATCTCTCTCTGGTCTCTCTCTCTCTGGTCTCTCTCTCTCTGGCATCTCTCTCTGGTCTCTCTCTCTCTGGTCTCTCTCTCTCTGGCATCTCTCTCTGGTCTCTCTCTCTCTGGTGTCTCTCTCTCTGGTCTCTCTCTCTCTGGTCTCTCTCTGGTCAGAATCTCAGTAAGACCTGTGTGGAGAGGAGGTGCAGTAGCTTGTCCAGGACGCAGACCGGGGCCTGGACTTGGACTTCAGAGCTCTCCTCTGGGATCCAGCAGAAGGCTCTGCAGCAGGAGCTCCAGGGGAAGTCTCTGCCCTGAGGACACACAGATGTTTGGACTCTCTTACGTTATTTTTGGAGTATTTCTCACGTTGATGGTTTTAAACGCCGCTGGACTCACTGTGTGGAGGATGAGGATGTGAGCATCGTCCAGAACGTCTGCTGTCACCACCTGAATCACACGACCATATAAGGAAAGAGGCTCCAGCTATCTAACGTTTAAATCTGCCTCTTCTGCATTAAGGCTAACAGACCTAAGAAAGACCAGAGAGAGAGAGACCAAAAGAGAAACCTGAGAGAGAGAGACCTAAGAAAGACCAGAGAGAGAGAGACCAAAAGAGAAACCTGAGAGAGAGAGACCTAAGAAAGACCAGAGAGAGACCAAAAGAGAGACCAGAGAGAGACCTGCGAGAGAGACCTAAGAAAGACCAGAGAGAGAGAGACCAAAAGAGAAACCTAAGAGAGAGAGACCTAAGAAAGACCAGAGAGAGACCAAGAGAGACCAGAGGGAGACCTGAGAGAGAGACCTAAGAAAGACCAGAGAGAGAGACCAAAAGAGAAACCTGAGAGAGACCTAAGAAAGACCAGAGAGAGACCAAAGAGAGACCAGAGAGAGACCAAAGAGAGACCTGAGAGAGAGACTAAAATGAGACCAGAGAGACCACATTTGTACGGGGCTAAGGAAGCACTTGTTTTAGAATGGATTGGTGATTGTGTGGAAAGATCTATGTGTTTATAAGAAGAGAGATTTATATGCGGCCCTGTCCTCTCCGGGGTGCTTTCTCCCTATCTCTCTCCTTCTCTGGTCTCGCTCTCTTTGCTCTGTGCTTTCTCCCAGTTCTCTCTCTGTGTTTTTCTCTGTGTCTCACCGTGTGTCCTGCTCTGTTGCTCAGATGTTCCGCTGCCACCAACAGAGCATTCAGAGTTGCTCCTCCACTCCCCAGAGGCTCCTGCCGATCACGGACCGTAAGGAGCAGGGACTCAGGAGGCAAGAATCCACACTGCTGTCTCTGCTCCAACTCTACATACACACACACACACACACACACACACACACACACACACACACACACACACACACACACACACACACACACACACACACACACACACACACACACACACACACACACACACACACACACACACACACACACACACAGACGCACACACACACACACACATAGAGAGAGGGACACACACACCGTCAGAACCAGAGACTCAGGAGAGAGAGCCACACTGCTATCTCAACTGCAACTCTACATGATACACACAAACACACACACAAACACAACACACATACACAAATATAGCTTGAGGAGGCAGTGATCCGGCTTCCTTCAGTCCTTAGACAAAACTGAAATGATTGTCTTTGGTCTAAGAAACACAGAAAGAGCGTCACCTTCAATCTCTCCCT